AGTCACATTGATAAAAACAAACAATATTTCTGATAATAATATTGGGAAAATAATACAGGCTGTGGGAAGGAGAGAATCACTGAAAGTAAAAGACGATATTGTAAATGAGATGGGTCACAAAAATGTGCATGTGATATTGACTCGTGGGTAAATGACAGAAACGATATTTTAACATCTTTTGTATTGTCTTTGTGTGGCAAATGACAAAGTGAAATGTCAGCGGCGGAAAAAACTAAATAATTTTTTGCCATAGAACATTTATATGCTCTCGTTAATGTGATCATGCCATTTCCTTTTAGTGTCAATTTAGTAGCTTACTATATGTCAAACAGCAACACTGTTTGCAATCTTTATTTTGGTGCCCACTCTGCAGGAAGCTATTCATGCTTTATTAAATTGGATTAAAGAACATTCATTATTTCTTTATTATTGTCACACAACAAGAAAATGAAATTCAGTGAAAACAGCAAAAGTAGAAAAAAGATACGTATTGCTTCATTGAACATCATTATAAGAACGCTCCACAGATTCAAATGGTAAAATGGTTAATCCCATCTCAGTTAATTATATTTTCCCGCGGTTCGCCAGTAATAGCGGGAAAATATTGTATTGACGGCACAGTGCATTATAATGGAAGGTTCCATTATTAGCCAATAGTTATTGAGTGTAAAGAACGGGTTTTCGGAAGGTAATTCAGGTATTCATTTCTAGCCGCCGTGCGGCACGAGTTAGACAAAAATGGACGCCCAAGCAATTCAAAGACAAATCAACGATACTGTACGCGCTTCGAATAATGAAATGCTGAACAGTTTCTCGGAGCTTCTCGACAATAGGCTTACAGAGATGCAGAAAACAATAAATGAGAACCAAAAAGCTATTGCCGATAGACAGGAGGCTAGAATTGAACAAGTCGTGGCCGACGGCTATAAATTCAAAACACGTGGCACAAACACAACGTAAAAGTACTATCTAAAATGCAGGAGGCCAGTGAACATTTGGAAGAAAGAAAAATTGAAGACGCTCAACGTAAAATAGCAGAAGGTGTGGATTTTATAAAACACAGACAAAAATTAATTAAACTTGCAGATTCTTCAGAGGCGGGATGGAGAGCGGTTGATGAGTACGTTAAAAACCCCATCGCATCAGATTCCGATGACGAGAAGAGAATTACCAAAGCACAGACTCGGGCTGAGAGGAAAGTAAAAGAAGAAAAGGCAAAGAGACGAAAAGATCTGAGGGATTTTACTAGGCCCTACCCAAAGCCAGTGTCGACAAAGACAACACTTAATGCATCTACATGGAAGCCTGGGCATTGCTATCGCTGTAACAAAAGAGGTCATTGGAGAAAGGACTGTAAAGAAAAACTAGATGATAATAAGATAAGTACATTTGTTTATCAATATAATCATTTGATTAAGCAGAAAAATGACGGTGAGTATTATGACAATACAATACAAAAGCAATCATGCGGTGTAAATACTTCACCTGTAGGTCATTTACGGGAGAATATAGGTCAGTGGCGTTTGATTGGTGCAAACAGGTATATTTTGGACGTTCTTGAGAAGGGTTGTAAAATGCCGTTGTTTACCACACCAGAACCCATAGAACTTAAGAACAATCGATCTGCGTGAGAAAACGGTGAGTTTGTAGATAAAGAAATTGAAAAGTTACTCAATAAAGGTTGTATAGTGGAGTATATCAATAAACCAAGGGTTATATATCCATTGACGGTAGCGGGTAACAAAACAAAACAAAGGTTGGTATTAGATGCACGACATATCAATCCTCATTTATTCAAATATAAGCACAAATACGAAAATGCCTCTGTTTCAAAAAGCTTATTTGAATCAGGTGATTTCATTTTTTCATTTGATTTAAAAAGTGCATATCATCACATTAGGATGCATAAACTAGATGAAGAATACTTAGGTTTTAAATGGAAAAGTAAGTATTATGTTTTTAAAGTTCTGCCATTTGGCCTTAGTACAGCAGGATACATATTTTCGAAAGTCATGAGAGAGGTGGTGAAGCTTTGGAGGTAAGAAGGTTACAAGATTGTCATGTATTTAGATGATGGGATGGGCGGTGCCTCAACATTACACGAACCAGTGAGTTTAGAAATTAAGAAAGATTTAGACAGATTAGGGTTTCTTGTTGCAGCAGACAAGAGTCACTGGGAGCCAGTACAAGAATTAGTATGGTTAGGGTTTGTATGGAATACAATAAACAACAAAATAATGGTTACGTCACCTAGGGTCAACAAACTCAAGGTTTGTATTGCAAATATTTTGAAAGGTTATGATTCTGGTTGTATTTGGTTCGATGTTAAAAATATCGTATCTGTGGTTGGACAAATAATTTCAGTGCAAACAGTATTGGGTTATGATGTTAGACTACACACAAGGTATTTATACTTTTGCATTCTGACGCGTTCCAGTTGGAATTCGAGAGTAAAGCTGTCTGCAGAAACGGTTGGTGAACTAAAATTTTGGTTGACATCTGTTGAAAAAATGAATAACAGTGGTACGTTGTTTAAGTCAGTTGACAGAGTCTGATGTAAATAAAGCAACAATTTATTGTGATGCATCTGACACGGGTTTTGGAGGTCATTTGACTATATGTTCAGAGGGTGAACAAACTGAATTTGAGTGGTATGGAGTTTGGAACGAATGGGATAGTTCTACTTGGAGAGAACTTGAGACAGTAAATAGAATCTTGTCAAAATCTGTTGATAAAGTTGAAGGCAAATCTGTTGAGATCAATTCTGATAATCAAAATGTGCAACCTATATTGAAAGTAGGGAGCAAGAAGAACAAGAGGCCCATGGGCCACAGCGCTCACCTGAGTCAATATGGCCCTGCTGTTATTCGTCAGCAGATTTCTTCTCCTATATTTCTCCTATATATTCATATATAAAGCCTTGATCGCCTGTTCTAGGCATACCCTACCCCAAGGTGCCATGTTTTGAATGAAATTGAATATAAACCTTCTGAGGATGAGATGGGGGTGGGGGTTCATGATTTGAACAAACTTGAACTTACACTACCTGAGGATGCTTCCATATCAATAAGACTGATTATTGCTTTGTTGTTCTTGAGAATGAAGAAGATTTTTAAAGACATTTCCTGTATATGTTCTATTGTAAAACTTTGATCCCCCATTATGGCCCCACCCTACTACTGGAGGATGCCTTGAACAAGCTTGATTCTATAATATTTGGGGATGATTCCATATCAATATGACTAATTGTGGCTTTGTTGTTCTTGAGAAGATTTTTAAAGAATTTTCCTATATATTCCTATGTAAGAATTTGATCCCCCATTGTAGCCCCACCCTACCCCCAGGGGTCATGATTTGAACAACCTTGAATCTACACAACCTGAGGATGAATCCAAATCAATATGACTAATTGTGGCTTTGTTGTTCTTGAGAAGAAGATTTTTAAAGATTTTCCGTATATATTCCTATGTAAAAATTTGATCCCCCATTGTGTCCCCACCCTACCCCTGAGGTAATGATTTGAACAAACTTGAATCTACACAACCTGAGGATGATTCCATATCAATATGACTAATTGTGACTCTGTTGTTCTTGAGAAGAAGATTTTTTTTCTATATATTCCTATATAAAACTTTGATTCCTCATTGTGGCCCCACCCTACCCCCAGGGGTCATGATTTAAATAAACTTGTATCTACACTATCAGAGGATGATTTCATACCAAATGACTAATTGTGGCTTTGTTGTTCTTGAGAAGAAGATTTTTAAAGAATTTTCCTATTTATTCCTATGTAAAAATTTGATCCCCCATTGTGGCCCCACCCTACCCCTGGGGGTCATGATCTTAACAAACTTGAATCTACACTACCTGAGGATGAATCCATATCAGTATGACTAATTGTGGCTTTGTTGTTCTTGAGAAGAAGATTTTTAAAGATTTTCCCTATATATTCCTATGTAAAACTTTGATCCCCCATTGTGGCCCCACCCTACCCTTGGGGGTCATGATCTTAACAAACTTGAATCTACACTACCTGAGGATGATTCCATATCAGTATGACTAATTGTGGCTTTGTTGTTCTTGAGAAGAAGATTTTTAAAGATTTTCCCTATATATTCCTATGTAAAAATTTGATCCCCCATTGTGGCCCCACCCTACCCCCGGGGGTCATGATTTGAACAAACTTGAATCTACACTATGTAATGAAGGTTTCACATAAGTACAAACTTTTCTGGCTCAATGGTTCTTGAGAAGAAGATTTTTAAAAGATGACACCAAATTTTCACAAATTCTTAATTATCTCCCCTTGGAAGAGGGCGTGGCCCTTCATTTGAACAAACTTGAACCCCCTTCACCCAAGGATGCTTTGTGGCAAGTTTGGTTGAAATTGGCGCAGTGGTTCTGGAGAAGAAGTCGAAAATGTGAAAAGTTTACAGACGGACGGACAGACAGACGGACTACAGACAAAATGTGATCAGAAAAGCTCACTTGAGCTTTCAGCTCAGGTGAGCTAAAAAGTTACAAGACATTGCAATGTCAGTGCATAGTTTATGCAGTAATAAGGATATTCAGATAACAGGTAAATGGATACGTAGGTCAGAAAACGTAAAAGCAGACTGAGTAGAATGACAGACTGTGATGACTGGTCTGTTAAACAATGTGGACAATACCTGGGGACCACATACATGCGATAGATTCGGAGATCTCCATAACAGTAAGTGTGAGAATTTTAATTCTAAGTACAGGTGTGCAGGATCAATCGCTGTTGATGCGTTCTCTCAGATGTGGACTGATCATTTGAACTGGGTTGTACCGCCGCCAAAATTAATTCCTTTAGTGTTAAGGAAACTTGAGAGTGACAAATGCAATTGTACTTTGGTAATTCCGGAGTGGAAATCCGCTCCGTTTTGGCCAATGTAGATTGATAAGGAGAGAAATTTCAAACATTATGTTAAAAATTTTTCGAAAATACAAAATGTTCATGCAGTTTGCAGGGGAAGAGGAAATAATGGAATATTTGGGAAAAAGGGTCTTTTATTTAACATGATTTTTCTGAAAATAACATTTTGATACAGATGACATATTTAACAGGAATAGGACTCCATGACAGCATTAAAAGAAATGCAGAAAAACATGGCGTTGAACCTGGAAGTTATTTGGCTGATCTGTGTCCATATTTAAGCAGTTGGATTTTGTCAAGTAAAAGCGATAACACTAATAAATCCTACTTTAACGCTTTTAAGAGATGGGAAAATTTCATTAAAGTTCAAGAACATAGTGCGTTACCGGCAAGTCCTACGCATGTGGCATTATACCTGACGGATTTGTTACAGAACGGATCATCTCAACAGTTACACCCTGTGAACGTTGCCGTGTATGCGATTAAGTGGGCTCACGAATGTGCAGGTTTACCAGATCCAACGAAGAATTCCTACGTTACATCTCTACAAGAAGCCGCAAGACGGAAAGCTAGTCGTGTTGTCCAGAAAAAAGAGCCTATTACCAAGGATGTGTTAATTGAACTTTGTGATAAATTCGTTGATGAAAATGATTTGCTAATTGTCAGAAATCTTACTATGATTTTATTTTGTTTCGCTGGTTTTCTTGGGTTTGACGAAGTTATTTCCTTAACATTTAATGATGTGCTTGTACATGATGAATATCTTGTGCTTTCTATTACAAAATCAAAAACAGATCAGTACAGACAAGGAAGCGAAGTCCTGGTTGCTAAAGGTTCAACGTCTGCATGTCCTGTCAATATGTATAAGAGATATTTAGAACGTTTGGGTCCAATTAATGAAAAACAATTTTTCTTATTTAGACCAATTTTTAGGTCAAAAGATGTTTGTAAATTAATATATAAAACAAAAAACTTAGTTATACATCAACTAGAAGCAATCTTGTATCATTGTTGAAAACAGTTATGGGTGAACATGTTAACATAGGAATTCATTCTTTAAGGGCAGGTGGGGTGACTGTGGCAGCAAATTCAAATGTGGATGAGAGATGTTTGAAAAAGCACGGTAGATGGAGAAGTGATAGTGCCATTGTAGATTCTTTGGATAAACGACTTATGGTATCAAGGTCATTGAAATTATTTTATTAATATTATTATTCACAGTTGTTTACACCCCTTTCTTTGTGTTTTTCTAGAGCAATCACGGCTGGCTGTCAGGCATTGTATGTTTGGGTTGTGTTGTATTTTAATGGTAGTAGAGCTAATACTTATATTTTCCCGCGGTTCGCCAGTAATAGCGGGAAAATATTGTATTGACGGCATAGTGCATTATAATGGAAGGTTCTATTATTAGCTAATAGTTATTGAGTGTAAAGAACAGGCTTTCGGAAGGTAATTCAGGTATTCACTTCTAGCCGCCGTGCGGCACGAGTTAGACAAAAATTTTATTTTTCATGTCTATATTATTATTATTATTATAATATTTGTAATATACTTTTATATGGTCAGAAAGTTGTGAGGTCCGTTCACAACTCCCCATGCGTCCAGCGGCACCTGGCAACGGACACAGGTTTTCTAGAGTTTTTGCATCGATTTTCATCGTTTTTATCTCTAGTTTTTGCCTGGCCGGCCCTGATGCTATGTAAAGGGGGGTACTGCAGTTGGTTTTTGTATTTTTAAAACATTTTGTAGTCTTGTAAAGAAAAGAAAGTCAGTGTTATGTTTTTCTGCATTTTAGTTTATGTGTATAGTAATGATTATGTTTAATATGTAAAACAGAAATAAATTACAGGCGTCCAGCAATCACGGCTGGCTGTCAGGCATTGTATGTTTGGGTTGTGTTGTATTTTAATGGTAGTAGAGTTAATACCCCTTGTTCTTTTGAGTCAGTAGAAGTTGTTTTTAGTAGCATTAAAGCTGAGGTGGGCATTCCTGACAACAGAAAGAGGACAGTAGTGGGATACCATGGTCTCCCATTCCTCCTATCCAATCGTATCATTAAGCAAGACCTCCTCATTTCACCTGGGTTAGGACATTTTGAAATAAATATGGCAAAGGTATTATGTTCCCCAAACGAAGTTTGGGAACATATTGTTTTTACTCTGTTTCTTATTATTATTATTATTAAGGTCTTCCGACTTCCTTCGGAAGACCTTATTGTTTTCCGTCTGTTTTCTATTATTATTAAGTCTTCCGTTCACAACGGAAGACTTATAGTGATTGTATTGTTTCTTTTTATTATTATTATTATTATTATTATTATTATTCCTCCCAAATTTTGTGAGCGCGATTACTCAGAGATGGTTGGATAGATTTTCACAATTTTTCACATGATAGTAGGCTGATATATGAAGTTTATATAAAATTCCGTTTTTTGAAAAATTCACTTCCGGTCCGAAGTTACGGCCGAATTTCCAATTTTTAAATGGACTTTTGTCCGGAATTTTTCTCGGAAACGGTTTGAGGTAAAGATGTGAAATTTACAGGGGTATTAGATCATGACATTTTCTTTGTTTCGAAGTTGTTTTCGTGTGTTTCCGGTACTTCCTGTCCGAACCGGAAGTGAACTTGTGTTTGGTCAATTTTCAACTTTTTTGTTTTTTAATATTTTTTTCAAGATATTATTATGTATAACAGAGGTTATTCTACAAATACTAAATATATAATTTGTTTTGAAATCAGATTCCACATTTTGCAGATTTTCGGTACCCTCATTTTCCCTATTTACCTAGTGTGTAGACAATGGGCAAAGAAAGATAACTCTGACTTGTAAGTGAGAATAGAACTTTCGAGATAAAGGCGGAAATAGTATCGATGACGTTAGAGACATATACACTCTCCATATCAAAATATTTAGACGTTCTATATTCACTCTTCAAAATTTAAGAGGACGTTGGTTACCGCTTCCAGTGCATGTAAAGTTTGAAGTTGCCAGTGTAGTGTAAGTCTGTATTGACAGTTAGTTAATTTACACATGAATATATCTAAAAAAAATTAATATATATATATATGCTAGGTAGCTAATTCAAGTAAATATATTATAAGCACTGAATATACATTTATAGTGATGGACAGGCATGCAGTTTTATCTATTTCGTATATTAAGTTCAGAATACGATAGTTATAAGCCTTCTATAATGTAGACGATTTATTATTCTCTATGATCTGAATGCGAAATTATCCCGATTTCCGAGTTTTACTTTCGATATTAAAAAATATTACATACACTCAAAAAAGGAATTAAGCGATAGAAAATTGTAATACAGTACTGTTTTAAAGCCTTTATAAATAAATTGATATCTGCCACTGAAAAGAAAGAAAATCAATCTATAGATTATATTTGGTTATTACATATATATTTGATAAAAGGTTAAATTATTTATGACACATGATATATTCTCTATATACCCAAGGAATTATAAAAGATGTGAAAAGGCGATTCTTGGATTCTTGTGAAATACTCAAAGAGTTAAAGAGTGTGTGAAATAATGGTACGCTATATGTTTCTTTTGAAAAAAAAAAAAAAAAAAAACATGATAAAAAAATTGTACAGGTCTGTTGATATGTGGGATAAGTATATCTGAATGAACACAATTTTATGCAATGATATATAATCATGTACATGCAACTGACGTCCGTACTTTTCCTTGTAATTCATAAAATTATCTAATTCCTTTGAAGCCCCCCCCCCCCCCGTCTTGAATTTGAATTATATATTCGTTTTAGATTTAAATCTGGAACATGTGAATAACATTACCATTTACATGTATACAGAATTTCATATTTTATAATTATAAAATGTTCAATTTACATGTCTGAGAGAGAGAGAGAGAGAGAGGAGAGATTCCCTCTTAATCCCGATCCAGACCAAAAATTAGTTCTTTATCGGTCACACCCATTCTTTATTAGATGTTTTCTGATTTCATAGTCAGTCATGGTCACATCCTGTATATTTTTCAGCTTAAAAAGTATCACACGAAGTGCACGTGTGTTGACCTGTCAATCAAAATCACTTGACGCTGTATGCACTGCAATTAAGTAGCCTGAGTTCGAAATGATCTTGAAGTATGATCTTTAAGTAAATCTGCTGCAACAAACTTGTGAAAAAAATAGAATAAAATAAAATATCTCGGTATTATGAACTTCGACTGTGGGACGTGGAGACCGGTCCTTTGGATGAGATCGTATAAATCGAGGTCCCTTGTCGCAGAAGGTGCTGGCATAAAAAAGATTCCCCACTGCTCAATTGCGATAAATGCCAAAGTATAGGACAAAAATTTACAGTCTCCACCGGCGAGTGGTGGCTTCTCCATGTGAGTGAAAAATTCTGGAGAGGGACGTTAAACAACATACGTATAATCAATCAATCAATCAATCAATCAATCAATCAATCAATCGATTGCTGAAGAATTACTGTAATTGAATAATTTGTCTTATAGGTATGTTGTCAAATCTTGATATTATAACTTTACAAAGCTCAGTGACTTTACGTTTAATGTGATACTAAATTAATTCATTATATTTTTTTATAACACCATCACAATTATGCCAAAACATACACACAGTGAAGTTTATGATAGTACGGTGTTCGTTCGTCTGTTTGTTTGTCTTAGAAATGATTGCAAGCATTTTTTTTTTTTAAATTGCTAATGATATACGTATATCTCTTATAGGTGCCAAATGTATTATACAAGATTGATAATGAAAATCAAAGTACCTTAAGTACTGAAAGGACTTTTTTCCAGTTTTTTTTTCTTTCACAGTAAATATGATATGTATGTTTTTTACACAGAAAAAAGCAAATTCTTACAGATTTAGAAGAACGGAAGACTTTTTTGTTGCCATGGCAACAAGAGTCTAGTTATTATTATTATTATTCTTTTTTCATAGTACGGCCGATATCTCAGCTGTGAGTGGACGGATTTCAAAGATTTTTTCAGGGAAGATGCATCGTGAGAATATCTCCAGACGTGTTTTTCATTTTTTGAAAAATCACTTCCGTTCGCGATTTTTGGGGAAATTTGTTTTTTTAAAATGGAATTTTGTCCGTTAATTTTCTCGAGAACGGCTAAAGATATGAAATTGAAACTCACTGACGTGATAGAGCATCAAATGGAGATATGGTGATCGACCTTTATTTTTCGTCGTTCCGACTTCCGGTCGCGAACGGAAGTGAATTCAAAAATGTTAAATTTGCAACTTTTTTGTTTTTCAATATTTTTCTTTGATATTTACAGGGTTAATAGAAAGTCTTCCAAGATATCTATGTATGGTTTCATCATTTTGATTGATGCAGTTATTGCAAAGATATGACCGATCCAAACTTTCTCGTATGTTGCGCGTTCGAATCCTGCTGGGGTGGGAGATTGTTTCTCTCTTTTTTCAGTTATAAATAATATTTTTCTCCGTGAAGACATGTATGATAGTTTTTGTTTATTTTTTAAAGCTTTGTTAACAGAGGTTCTACAGAAATCCTTTAATAATCATGATCTATGTTGAAAGACTGTTACATAAACGCAAACGAAAAATACCTTCAATAAAGTATTAAATAAAGTGAGATAGCATAGCGTTCTGGAGAAAAGTTCGGTCGGAAGACCACTTGTTGCCCTAGCAACAAGAAACGCATCTAGTTATTATTATTTTTCTTCCTGGGTACTTTTTTGTCCGTGAGTGATCTCCGAAACTACACATCCGATTGAGGTGAAACCTTTTTAGGGTTAATAGGAATGTTATGTAGATTTGCGGAACGAAGGTCATTTTACGCGCATGCGCGTGCATTGCGTAAAATGACCAATATACTTGATATAGCTGTAACTTTTATATTTTTTTATGAAATGCTTTGATACTCAGAATATAAGGATATAATAAAAGTGTAAACAAGGTGACATGGTCAACATGCACATGCATGCACGTGTGCGCACACGCAAAGCATAAAATGACCAATATACTTGATATAAGCGTAACTTTTATACTTTTTGATGAAATGTTTTGATACTCAAAATATTTATATATATTAGAAGTGTAGGCAAGATGACATGGTCGTCATGCACATGCATGCATATGCATGCACGTGCGCGCGCGTGCAATTAGTTAAATGACCAATATACTTAATATAGCCGTAATTTTTATATTTTTTGATGAAAAGCTTTGATATTAAGAATATACAGATATATTAAAAGTGTAGACAAGATGATGTAAACATCATGCACATGCGCGCGCGTGCAATATGTTAAATGACCAATATACTTAA